TGGGTTTTTAAACAGCAGTGCAGATGAAGGGAAGGGGTAATCCAGACCCTGGCATTGTCGTAGAGAGCTTTAACCTTTTGCTCCCTCCTACTGTGGTCCCAAATTGGATCTTCAGATACAAATTTCTTCAGCAAAACTGGCGAATGTGCAGCGTGCACAAGGCATTATGCATTCTCTTTCTCTTGTTTTCTGCCTTGGATCCAAAGTGTCTGGGAGCAGAACTCTGTTTACATGATACTTCCAGTGGAGAAAAGAAGGATGCGATCTTCACCAATTCCTTGTTTTCTCTGTAAATATGCTCCAGAAGGTTAAGACCGGAATTGTACAGAATGAGGTTATGGGAGAAGTGAAACTTGTCTTCACTCTTTTCCTCTAGCAGAAGCCTCCACAGCTGGATTGCAGACACTTTAGGGAACAAAAGGACCCCTTCCATTCACACATGGGCAACTTGAAATCCAGATCTTGGAAAGGTTACTTGGGTTATAGTGATTATCTTAAAAACAAAAAAGAGCAACCACAATACCACAATAATGTCCATGCAGCTTATTATTAATATGTTACAGTCAACCTGTCAGTGTTGTGGTTTTTCTTTTAAAATAAATGACTAGAAAGTACTCAAACCTCCAGTGGTCCCTATAATAACATTTTTGCAATAATGAGTAGTAAGCATTACTCATCATACCAAAATGTAATATGTCATTTTTGTTAGAATGTAAAAAAAAAAAGTTGAATCTTGTTATTGAAAAAGCAATACATGTAAGTAACATTAATGCGTGTAATGTGTCATTTCCATATTGCAAGCTCTGCTGCAATCCAGTCCAGTGTCCAAATGGAATATTCCCTGTTTTGGATGACACCAAGCTGAATTTGCAAAGAAAAAGGTGGCCATTTTGAAAGTGTCATATTGAGGAATGTTTCACATTTGCAGAGTGGAGTGTATTGCCAATATTGTTTAACATGGCCATTTAAAAGATTGCTTTCCATTCTAAATTCCATACAAAGCAAAAGGTAACAGAGCTCTCAAGTTTTAATTGCTAATTTAGTTATTTTCTCTTTTTTTTACAGTAAATTTGAGAACCTATAGCTGTTGGAAGACATCACGATGCACTACACGTGAGGTTGCTGAACACTTTAATGCTGACAGTTTTAGATTCCTTTGCTGCTACAGAGATTTCTGCAACAAGGCTCCAAGCACCTTGTTCAGTACAGCTCCCCTTGGTATTTCGGCAGTGACCGCAATTTGGATGAAGTACCTGTAATATGGAGATAACAAGAAATGTGATCTCTGTGTAGCACATTCACCCATCCACACTTTTGACTTGGTATGTCTTCTGCAATTATTTGGAGAAGGGTCATATTGTTTTCAAAAAGAAAAAGGTAAAGATATATTAGAGACCATTTGAAAGAAGACTGGCACATTAAGTCCCTCTTTTCCAATAAGTAACATGCAAGTTTTTAAATACCCCAGCAAACTGAAATATGCACTCTTAAATACAAAGCGCTTATTGTCTACCAAATATTCTTAGCTATGTTAGTCTGATGCACTTTGAAAACTGACCATTCTCAAGAGCTGGAAGTAATTCATTAAAAATAACCCTAATTAATAGTTTCAACAAATTTTTGAAAGTAATTATTTTAATTATCAACAGCCTACCAATTTCAAATATTCAACTTTTTTCCACTTTTAAAATTTGCCCACTGGACATTTTCAGTAGTGTTAAATACATTTTTAATTGTAATAATTAACAAATTATCTGTCTATCTTTTTAAAATTGCCTTAATAGTTTGAGGTTAACGTGTCAGTTTCTCCCCCACCTCCATGGTGCTTAGATAGCTATTAGGAGGAGCCTGCCTTTAATGGCTCCCTATTGCTGTTGGTGCCAAAAAAGTGATAGAAACAAACAGATGTGGCAGTCCTCTCTGTGCTACCAGGAACAAGTGTTTGTAATGCCAACACTGCAAGAAATGTCCATTGTATATGATAACCCACTGTAGCGGAATGGCTTTTCACATATAATTAGCCATCACAGAATATGACTTTTTATTTGAAGTAACCTCTGCTTAATGCAGAGGTGAAAACCATGTTTCCAGAGGTTATTGGGCTACAGCTCCCATCATTCCTCTAAGTCAGGGACCGGCAACCTACGGCCCGGGGGCCGGTTTAGGTCCCGGTCCCTCGACTTACCGGCCCAGGCCGAAGGTTGCCGTCGCCGCTGCGCTGCCGCGCGTTTTTGCTGCTCTGCGGCCGCGCTCGGAAATCAAAATGGCGGTCGTGATGCATTTGCGCATGCGCAGTACGCATTTGCGCATGCGGGCAGTGTGCGTGGGGGGGTCGCGCGGGGCGGTGGAGAGTGCGTGCATGCACATGAGCGCGCACGCCGACATTCCCCCCCCCTCGGCCCAGTTGAGACCTGGGCTATGGGAGACCGGCCCAGGTCTCAGAAAGGTTGCCTACCCTTGCTCTAAGCTGTGATAGTTATGACTCCTGGGAGTTGCAGTTCAACAGCATGCAGAGGGTCACACGATTCCCTTCCCTGCCTTAATGGCAATGATCTGTATAGTCATCCTTACCTGTATGGTGTTTTTCACTTATAGGGGTTAGATGACAGTAGATGAACAAATGCTAATAAAATCAAAGATCAGTTAACAATAACATGGCATCCATAATGGTTGTATCCAGATCTAACTAATGTAGACAAACATCTGGAATGGTGGGAACAGGTTTCATTCTAAAGCATAATAATTATCATCAAACCTTGTGTAGGAGTCTTGCTGATTAATGTGTAGCCTATTGCTGATTCAAGAAGAGCCTGGACAGCTCATACTGGAGGTCTATGATGTCCAACATTCATTTCCCGCGGTGCCAATCAGATGTCTGTAAGAAGCCCATAAGTTGGATATGAGTGCAACAGCACCTTCCTGCTCATGTTCTCCAACATCTAAATTTGTCTAATCTCCTTTTAAAGCCATCTAAATTGTCGAGGATCACTACGTCTTAGGGTAGTGAATTCCATTATTCAGTTTAGCACTGTGTGGAGAGCCATAACAGTCCTATAGTAAAGACAGGGACACCCACCATCACAGAAGTCCCACACCTCTCCTAGCAAATTTCACCTAACAAGTGTAGTGCGCCCATTGCTGTAATTGTCTCCTGGTCCTCTTCTTCTCCATTATGTCCAAGAAATGTCAGGATTTCCTGGGCCAAGAGTGATTATGTATGCAGAGTAAACCACTTAGAGTGCTTAGTTCACTATGAAGCAATATAGAAATGTAAAGTGCTATTGCTATTGCTGCCCAAGGTCAGTACATTCCCCATACTCAACTATGAGGCAAAGAGATCTTGTAGCATCTTTGAGACTAACTGAAAGAAAAAAAATTGGCAGCATGAGCTTTTGTAGACTTCAGTCAGATGCATGCAATGATGCAAGTCATCCAGGAAAAATGCTCTTCCTTATTACAAAGCATGGTCCTGATCTGTCCCCCCCTCCATACAAACTCAGGACTAGCCTTTTATTCTGAAAATGGGCATCTATGCTGGGTTCCTATTGCCAATGAATCTCTTTAAAATTTTGCAATTCACCAGAGCAGGTCTTCCTTTTTTCTTTGTGACATTCAAAAGAGCAATACTACCTTTGCATGATGGATGGATGGATGGATGGAGTTCCATTTTTCAGGCTTCTGACTGGCTGACAGGTTTTAAAAGAAAATGGCACGTGATGAAAGAAAAGCTAGAGTGGCTTGGCTGGAGAAACTGACGCACTGTGGGAGGCATAGCCATGAGAGAGTAGGGAGGACAGTATCAATACATCCCCATATACAGGCACTGAGCCCAGGAACAGCTGGAGGCACGGAGCATAGAACTAGATTTATGTCTAGTGATCAGGGTGCCAGTGTGATGTAGTGGGTTGACACTGGGAGACTAGGGTTAGTATCCTCATTCAGCCATGGAAACCCACTGGATGTCCTTGGTCAGGTCACACTTTCTCAGCCTCAGAGAAAGGTAAAGGCAAACCCCTTCTTAATACATTCTGCCAAGAAAATCCTGTGATAGGTTCACCTTAGGGTTGTCATAAGTCAGAAATGACTTAAAGGCACACAGCAACAACAATGTCTGGGTCTCAGCTAGTAGTTTTCGTTCCTGGAGCCACAGGACTGAACTTCATTAGCAAAGTTTGATCCTGCTCTTTATAAATAATTCAAGCCTGCTTCCCTCTGAGGAGATGTGCAAAGGGAGAGAGCTTGCAAGTAATAAGGAGTTATTTGGCTAAGGAAAGCTTGGAAAGTTACCAGACTTTGAAAAAGAATTAATATAATATGCTAAAACCACTCCTAACTGAGCAGTGATAGGGTGATGCACAGGGCCTTTTCCAATATTCTTGTCTGGAGGGCATTCTTAAGGACAGCAGTTTCTCATCTTCTGTTCATTGAGAAGACCACAGATTGATCACATCTGGGCCTGGTGATTGGTTTGATTTGAATTTAAAATGAGCACTAGAACATTAAATTAGAATCTTGTCACCAATATATCTCCCACTGTCTTGGGATTGTCATGAAAATGTCATTTTAGGCTTGGATATGTGCCCTTCCTTCTATAATGAAGATACAAATAATTCATTCCACTTATCTGCAGTTTCCTTATCCCCCTTTAGCTCTCCCTTAATTTCTTTGCTCAGTAGCAGTGACCCAAGGGGCTAGCAAAGTATATGATTTGCCTTAATAGAATGACTGGCACACTCAGTATTTCCAAGGATTTATTCTAGACAAAACAGCAAACAGTTTTGTCAGTGCATCAGAGGAAAACAACAAAGTTCAGCGAAACTCCTATCCTGCACATATCAAAGTGTAGGTATCCTATAGAATAGAATCCAAGTCCAAAATGACATGGTATCATATATGTAAAGAGTAAGCCACAAAATAAATTGGAAGATAGCTACAGTCTTCATAACTCCTTTTGTACCTTTTACCGCTTATAGGCAGAATATACCACTTATAAGCAGAGAGCCAGCATGGCATAGTGATTTAGGTGTTGGACTACAACTCTGGAGACCAGAGTTCGATTCCCTGCTTGGGTGACCTTGGGCAAGTCACATAATCTCAGCCTCAGGAGAAGGCAATGACAAACCTCTTCTGAACAAATCTTGCTAAATCTTGCTAAGAAAATCCTGTGATAGGTTCACCTTAGGGTTGCCATAAGTTGGAAACAACTTGAAGGCATGCAACAACAACCAAGGGAGGCCATGGGAAAGTGCAAATGCAGCTGAAATGGTTTGACTAATTAGCAGGCTCCAGGAAAGCTGATGGTGTGGAAAGCTCCAAAGGCTACCTACAGCTCACACTTGCATTTTCCCTTAGCAAGACAGACTTTTAGGATTTCTTTCCACCTTGA